AATGACATAAAAGTAATGAAGATAAAAACGAGAAAAAGATACGAAGTAAAGATACAAAAATCATTGATTTTAACATATTTTGTTGTGTTTTATGTTAGTTCTATTTTGTTTTGTTTAATTTAGTGTGATTTTATTTTATTTTAGTGCATTTTTGTTTAATTTTATTTTTATTCAAATTATTCATAGTCTTTTATTTGAATAATATCATAAATTTGGTGTAGAACGGTGTTAAAATAGATAAAATAGGGCCAAAAATTAGTTCAAAATAAATAAATTAATAATAATAATAATAAAATAAAAAATGATTTCGACAGTTGGATGAAGCTTATCAACGGTCTTAATGTGCGCATAAACAATACGCACATATCAGGTGGGCCCCGCCAGAATTCTCAATCATATAATTAGAACGCAACACGTGGTTGTTAAGTCGGCCAGTTTTCATCGGCGCTTAATTTCTTGCATCGTGATTCACGTGAGCTCATTTTTTTGACAAATACTATTCTGACACATGACAAACTAAAGGACGAACCATTTACCCAAGCACACGTGTATTCTACTAAAGAAAACACCCAATTAAAACTCGACACATGACGCAAATAACTTAACCAAAACTTCGAATAGTTCTTTTGTGTCCAGGTGAATAGTAATTTGTGTCCAAATGAATAGTAACTGCGCTCCCCTGTAATATATAGTTATAGATATTTTCTCAATAGCAGTTACAGGGTAATATTGTCAAACCAGGCCTCTCAGCTCGGCAGAGATGAAATAAAGCCTACCCCGACCCATCAGTCTAGCATGTCCTACGTTGTTCGGGCCTACCCGACACACATAACAAATACTTAGCCCTAATTGGTCAGCTCAGGTGCTTGATTCAGACTGGGCCACGTCAAGCCAAAGAGGTGGGCCACAACCGGCCCGTTTGGTGTGATTCATTTTGATAGCTCTATGCTAAGGACTTGTCTCCGACTTTTTTAAGTTGTTACATTTTCATTTGCACTCAATATTTTTAAATAATTAACGAAGGAATAACAATTTAAATTTTATATAAAATGTTGATATCAACGTTGGTGTCCTATTTTCTCAAAAAAAGAAGAAGAAGAAGAAGAAGAAGAAAACATTGGTGTCCTATGATCAATTTTCATTCTATCAATTGTTGTCTGATCTTAAAAAAAAAAAAAAAAAAAAAAGAGCATTTTAAGATAAGTTTTTATCCCATCTTTGCTTTTTATTAATGTCTTGAAAAAATGGCTTAAAAACCCTTTTTTATTTGTTTACTCAACTCGTAAAGGCAAACAAAAAAGGTAGTTTACTTTAACAAGTAAGGGAGGAGCCTCGAATCAAAACGATTTCTCTTTTCTTTTCTACGCTTTATTCTCTTATGAAATTTCTAGTTTGATCGAGAGCGATACACTTCTCCCCAATATGAGATAGGTTGCAGCTATAGTCAGAACTCAAACTAAGCCAATTGGGTAAGGATACCATTTTGAAGCTTAATTTTAAGCAGAATTCACTTCGTGATAGTGATAGTTTAATTTAGATACCATGGACGTGTATGAGAATGGCCCTAAAAAGGAGCAAAAAAATGGGTCCATTTCCTAGCTAATATATATCCCAAAAAAAAATGATCAGAGAGTGAGTTCAGCCAATAATATGGACCACTACTAAAATAAAGGTTGGTAGATTAAAGTCTCATTTATTTCACCAATTTGAGTTTTTAATTATAGGTTTTTACATTTAAAAATTCTCAAAAAATGTCACATCTAACTTTTTTTACTATAGTTAAAAGCTCTCATAAAATGTTACATCTCAGCTCAAATTAAAAACTCGAATTTGCGAAGAGAATGAGGCCTAAAACTGATTAGGTAGACAATGGGTTCATATTCACTTGTTAATGTTATATACTCGTATTATGGTGTAATGATTGTACGTCATATAATTTGATGTTGGATAAAAGAATATGTGTGGAGATAACTAACTGTCAATACTGGACTATTTTAAATGTTAAATTATACAACATTTAGCATTCACAAAAAAGGATATCAGTTTACCAGTGCAGATATCCTTTTTCAGCAAAAAAAACCTGTACAAAAATTTCATAAAATTTACCTTTTAAGATTAATTTTACGAGACAAAAGTTGATTAATGCATTGTTCAAATAGTCATAGTATAAGGATAATTTTATACATGATTCTGTCATAAAGTATTAGAGTTCAAATGTCTCTTTAAGTTATATTCATGTTTTTGCCCCGAGAATCATCCATAATTTTTACTTATTTTTTCGAATAAATCCATAATTCTTTTATGCGATGTCTAATAACTTGCCACTGTTTGATAATTGATTGTCTATTTTTGCGCTCTGGATATCATTGCTTTCACTTATTCATGACAAGTAGCTATATTCTCATAAAATAAAATAAAAGACAAGTAGCTATCACATAAGATTAAGAATGAAAAAAAATATATTATTCAAAGAAAGAGAATATGATTATCAAATAAAGGATCAATTTTACTGATTTTATTAGTTTTTAATTATGGATTAAATTAAAATTATATTAAATTAAAAAAAATATGTAAAATAAATACTTTTTAATATATATCTACGACTAAAAATAAAAGATTATTAAAAATTTATTTTTGTCGCTAATTCTACCAAATAAGCTACCATATATCTGTTTATTTCGCTGATTCGAGTTAAGATGTGATTTTATGTGAGAATTTTTTACTGTAATAAAAAAATTAAATGTGACTATTTTTAAAAATTTTTTACTGTAATAAAACTCAAATTCTAAACTCGAATTGAACGGAATCATATTTTTCACGAACGGATAATACAAAGCGCGTAGAGAAAAGACGTTGACGAAGAACAAAATCGTGCAAAAGATTAGGCGGGACACGTCAGCATCGGGGGCGGTCAACTACCTTGACAGCTACGGCGGGAATTGGGACACACTAGCATTTAGTTATTGAACGTGAACTTCCATAAATGCCCTTTACTCGTTTTGTGAAGACTCCTAATCGTCTCTCACTTTTTTTTTTTTTTTAATTATTCATGAGAATTATACTATTAGGATATATATATATATATAATTTTATGGGTATAGTTCTGTTTTGAATCATAAATTCTATTAGTTTTACATCATTCTTAACTCCAACATGATTTTTTTTTTAAATTTAATGTCGAGAAACATATAATATTTCATTATAGAAAGCTTTTTATATTGTTATTAATTATCGTTGAATAAAAGTTATTAGAAACGTGGAAAAGATAATGCAAATAATAAGTAATCGTCAATTTTGATTAATCCGACTTGAACATATGACCACAATTTCTCCGACTAGCCGTAGTTATTTACATATAACGCACATGTTTATATTTTACCTTTTACATTTCAAATAACGACTTTGCTTTATGTACATATATAAATATATAATATGTTGTAGATTAGAAACTAGAAAGAACACATATTCTATTATTAAAAAAAAAAAGAACACATATTTGACAATCAAATTAATGCAAACCGCACACCCACTTGAAGATCTTGACTTTGAGACCAATATTTTTGGTCCATTATGACCCATAATTATGCATTATAAATGAAACACTTCCCCTTGTTACAAGTAATCGATAGTAGTGCTGCTCTTCATGGAAAGCAAAAGGTGCGGAATACTCGGAAAGGACAAATTTATTCTACATCATTAGTTTCCGCAATCTAACATTGAATATTACACTTTGCAAGTCAAATATGTCTACTTTCTAACCTGAAAGAGTTTTTTTTTTTTTTTTTTTTTTTTTTTTTTTTTTTTTTAATGCTTTTACCCTTCAAACTTTTCTTGAACTAGCAGATTGTCCGTTAAAACTTTTAATTTTAATAAATTTCCCTAAAATTTAATAAAGTAAAGCAAACCAGTGAAACGCCCATAAGTTGGTTTACTTTTATTAAAATTTAAGACAGAAATACTCTTGTGTACATTACTTAGTTGCTTATACTTACAACTGGAAAGAAAATAGAGAAAAATGTTTAGCTAATATTTGATTTGCAATATGGGAGCAAATCCCAAAATGTAAGCTCGTTTGAAGGAGATAAATGAAAAAAAAAAAGGCCGGAAACATATTATGTTACATGCACGAGTGTGTTTATGTTCAAAATTTAATAGTATTCATCAACTTAGGTCCCGTTAATTTCACCGATTCGAGTTTTATTATAGTAAAAAGCTTTCAGAAACAGTCACATCTAACTTTTTTGTTACAGTAAAAAACTCTCACATAAAATCACATATCAACTCGAATCAACAAATTAAATGGGTCCTTAAGTTACCATGCAGAACTATATTAAATTCAAGAATAGTTTTTTTCCTCCTGTTAAAATTAAAAGTTAGAACCTTTCTAATTCAAATTTTAAAAAATAGGGGGCTAAGATGTCAAATTCCAAAAATGCTAATCATTAGTTGAGATCGACGTGGAGGGACATTTAGGTAAGAACAGGATTTCACTTCCCGTGAGACGTGGAGGGACATTGTAGTAAATTCAACACAAAACTGCAGATAAGTAAAGAGATCCGTAAAATAACAAGATGCACACGCAGTGACAGCTACAGTAAGCAACAAAAAACAAAAGCTTGAAAGTTTTTTGCAAGTTGAAACTTGAAACAATGCGTTTGCATGACTAAAGCCATGACCAAAAGTTGTTGACTGTTGAGATAGAGAATTAAACACAAAAAATCTAGGTTTGCTAAAGTTAAAGCAATTTATGTGTTTTTCCAATGGAAAACTTCACCGAAACCTGGATATGGCTTACTTTCTTTGACCGCCTGACCCAATTCTCTCTCTCTCTCTCTCTCTCTCTCTCTCTCTCTCTCTCTCTCTCTCTCTCTCTCTCTCTCTCTCTCTCTCTCTCTCTCTCTCTCTCTCTCCCCTTCATAAAAATAAAAATAAAAATACTCTCTCTCTCTCTCTCTATATATATATATATACACACACACACACACACATATACACACATATATATACGTACATATAATATTTTTATATGTTGTCCTGGAAGTGGTGGAAAACTGGAAAATGAAGAAGAAAACCTTCTAAAGGAGCACGTACACAATTCCAAAGGCAATTCAAAGTCTCAATCTTTGAATCCATCAAACCACTCATGCCTTTGAACCAAGAAGGAATAAAAAAAGGCAAAAAATTAAAAAAAAAAACAAATAAAATAAGACGTTGAATCCCCTGTTTGCTCTTCGCCTCTTCTAATCAAAACTTTCTCTCACGTTGATTTTACGACATAGAATTCATCCAAAGACTTTCCTTTTCGTCACTTTTTCGCCCTTCTCCATTTCTAACACGTATTTGAAAATCCACAAGAGCCATTTTTTGCTTCCATACTTGATATATCTATCTATGTATATGTATATATAACAAACAGAAAGCCACTTAACTCGGCAATCGACATCCTGTACATTGTTGAGTACTCATAATTCTTTTCACCTTTTAAACACCTTTTTTGAACAGACATAAAAAAAAAAGTAGAGATTTCAATCACACCAAACCAATCCAAGGTATGATTAATCAATAACCATCTTAAAATTGTTTTTGTTTCAATTAGGTGATCATATTACCAAATTCTTCAACATTTTTTTTGTGTGACTTTCTTGATCATCTTTTGCAGCTAAGATTCTCAGAAGCAATGACCGTCGCAAACGGTTCGGACAATTCCAACGCAAATAATTTCTCCCGTTTGCAGCATCACAAGCCACAGAAAGTGATGCTTGAGACCAATCTTTCATTCAAGAGTCTTGTTGTTGTCCAAGACACGCAGACTTTGACCGCGGAAGATGATCATGTTTTGGTTGGCAAGAACCATATTAAGCACAAACCAATACCTGCTCTTTCTTTGCCTGAGCCTGCAATCATGTTCTCGCCTAGACCGGTTTGCGAGCTCGACGCCGCCGCGATTAAGCTTCAGAAAGTGTACAAAAGTTACAGGACTAGAAGGAACCTGGCGGATTGTGCAGTTGTCGTTGAGGAGCTCTGGTAATAATAATTAGTCTCTCAAAATTCCTCTCTTAATTATTGGTTAATTTTCAATTTTAAATTAATTGTTGGTTTGTTCGTGTCTTTTTTCAGGTGGAAAGCGTTAGACTTTGCGTCTCTAAAGAGGAGTTCTGTGTCCTTCTTTAATATTGAGAAGCAAGAAACTGTGGCTCAAAGATGGGCTAGGGCTAGGACTAGAGCAGCAAAGGTATTTTCCAAAAACACGATTTTGAATTTCAATACCCATACCAATAGTACATGTTTATGCACATGAAAAATATGGTCAAAATCACATCAAAATAATAATTAAAAAAAAGTAGACAAATTTAACAGAACTTGATTTAAATCACAGTGCGCCACCAGGATTTTTGTTTCATGTCCAACCAATGTTTTTTTTTTTTTTTTCTTTCTTCTTTTTTAATACCTTATGAAGATTAATTTGGGAACTGAACAAGGATGTATTGTTTTGCAGGTGGGAAAGGGTTTGTCCAAGGATGAGAAAGCACAAAAATTAGCCCTCCAACATTGGCTTGAAGCTGTAAGTTACAATCATAGAGCTGTATCAGCACTTGATTTTGGGCTTTAGACAGAAATTAAGCACATTTAAATGATATATCAAATTTTGATTCAATGGAATAATAAGATTAATCAGAAGGTTGTTTTCTTCATATTTTCTACAGATTGATCCACGGCACCGTTATGGACACAATTTGCACTTGTACTATGATATATGGTTTGAAAGTGAGAGTACTCAACCTTTCTTCTATTGGTAAGTGATCATTTCTTGACATTCTTTATTGTTTTCACATGTGTGTGTATTACATGCGTAATTATGAAATTAATTGTAAACCACATGACTAAATAGAATGTAAAATGTGAAATGTAAATTTTCCGTGGTTTACTCTATTTTTCTCAAGTACCAAACAGAAAAACGTGTGGATTATGACTAACTAGAAACTACTATACTTGTAAAAATGCAGGCTTGATTGTGGAAATGGGAAAGAGATAAATGTTGAGAAATGCCCAAGAACTCTTCTCCAACGCCAATGCATCACGTATCTCGGACCGGTAAGTCCTAAACCACACCATACTTTAATTTACTATTTTGTCCCTCAAAGAAAAAAAAAATGTTTTCTAAGGTTGGAATTAATTAAGCGAAGTGGTTGCTAGCATAGCATATCGGTAATTATACACCTGGCCCTACTATAAGGTGAAGAGTTCAAATTCCTCCACCCTAAGTTCAAAAAATAAAATAAAAATAAAAATAATTAAGCAAATATAAATTGTGTACATGACATAGAATTCTAATGGTGTAATTCATGATTGTGGTGTTGTATATACAGAAAGAAAGAGAAGCGTATGAAGTAAAAGTGATGGATGGGAAACTAGTGTATTGGCAAAGTGGGACCCCTGTGGACACCATTGAGGGCTCCAAGTGGATTTTTGTATTAAGTACCACAAGGGCTCTCTATGTGGGTCAGAAGAAGAAAGGCAGATTTCAGCATTCAAGTTTCCTAGCTGGGGGTGCCACCACAGCCGCCGGGAGATTAGTTGCCCATGATGGGGTTCTTGAGGTATAAAGATAATTTATTGAAAATAATATTACAATTATTTATAATGAGAATCATGTGGTTGGTCGTTAGGTATGGACGATTAGGATGCATTTTTAAACCGTTAGATTATGTACTATAATCTCTTAATAACAACTAAAAATCAAATTAGGTATAATTATTTTGGATTAAAAAAATATAATAATTTAACATAATTTGATATAAAAGTATTACGGTTTAGCAATGTGTATGACCATTGAGTTCTTCTTATCATATGCAATAAATAATTAATCACTTGCTTTATCATTTTAGCATGCGTGACCATTTTTTTTTATTTATAATTATTCATTTTTTGTTTGCTATGGACGTTTATCTATTTGGTTAAATAAAGAAATTATGTACACATTGGTCAAAATTTAACAAAACTTATTATGGTCAATGTGAATTTGGTTTAAAAGACCAAGTCTTGTAGCATGTCATGCTTACTCTACGACCTCAATATATTATTGCAGGCAATTTGGCCATATAGTGGTCATTATCACCCAACAGAAGAGCACTTTAGGGAATTCATTAGCTTCCTTGAGGAGAATAATGTGGACCTCTCCAATGTCAAGGTAAATAAATGATCTTTTTTCTCAATTATTGTACTCCTTTTTCAAAGGAAAATTCATGCCTCCTAAAAAGTTTGTTACAAAAGTGCATGCATGTAAATTATTATTGCTTTTTATGACACCATTTTGCCCCTCTTTTTTTTTTTTTTGGCAATTTTCTGATCTGTCGTTTTCTATATTTGGCAGAGGTGTGCAATTGATGATGACTATCCTTCATTCAAGGTCACCAACGTGGCAGAGCAATCAGGGTCAACGAAATCTCCTAAGCAATCACGTGGTGTGAATAGAATTGATGTGGCTGCCAAGGAGAGCACGATCACGACCGTTGAACAAGATGAAAATAAGAAGGTTGACTCTTTCAACGCGAGGCCACCAATCTTTGACTTCAGCCAACGCCTCTCGTGCAAATGGACCACTGGGGCTGGGCCACGTATTGGGTGTGTCCGGGACTACCCAACAGAGCTACAATCTAGAGCACTGGAACAAGTCAACTTGTCTCCTAGGCTGGCTGCTGGCCCATTGTTCAGTTATGGCCCAATACCTTCTCCACGACCCAGCCCAAAAGTTAGGTTGTCTCCGAGGCTTGCGTACATGGGCCTTCCCAGTCCAAGAACCCCCATTGCTTTATCTAGCTAGACCTGTATTCGGCCAAGGGAATGTGGCCCATATAGTTTGGGTCGAAAATGGAAAAGCCCACAAGTGTAGCGGCTTTTTCTCTGACAAAAATAAGGAGAGAGCTATCCCCATTTTTTTCGTATCTTCTTAGAAGTTTCTTTTTTTCCTTTGATTCTTTCAAATTTGTTATCTCAATTCAAATTATTATTTTATTTGTCATTTTTTTTCTTTGTTAATAATAGCAGGAATGAGCTAATAGATTTGTTCTTCTGCACCCAATTTTTTGTTCAAATTTTTTGGGTTGGGTATCATGTATTTGTCTTTTTATTGTAACATGAAAAGTTTGTTGACGTGAATGAAATATGTTTATTCAAGTTTCACACCCTTTCCTTTTCACCGACCATTAACTTACTTTTCTTCCTCCGCAAATTAAATTATTTTAGTTAAATTTCCATATACATTTGTTGTTATTATATAATCTCACATTTCACATTTAGAAACATGAATCACTTTACACAGTATGGATAGAAAACTCCTATAAAGTTTGTCTTCTTCTTTTGAAGAATTCTTTAATAACACATTTTTAGTATTTAACAATCTTAGTATAATATCAAAGTGAAAACCCGTGTGAATTCTAGAAAATGCGATGAAGATCGGTAGTTGAACGCATCACAATAAAAAATTGGTATGAGATTTTAGAGAGTTTAGGGTATGTTTGTTTTCTAACTCAAGTTCGAACTTAAGTTGTGTATGTAAGAGAAAAATCATATAGTAAAAAAATTAAATTTAAGTTTTTATGAGATAAAATACTGTAGTAATAAAACTTAAGTTGTGAGAATAATAAGGCCTAAAGCTCTCTTAAAACACAAGTAGTGTGTCTCACCTGTATTTATGAGGCTCAATCCTGTAAGGTACAGTGTCTTGAATTTTCGACGCCTAAACGTTTGGTTCATGCATTCAGAACCATGATCCATAATCATTATCGTTTTACGTATTTTTTTTGTGAGAAAAAAACACTGTAGAAAACCATGAATCATGATTAAGAATCAGAGACGAATATAGGAAATAAACATCCCATAATGTCCCGTTCATTTTACCGATTCGAGTTTTGTTACAGTAAAAAATTCTCAGAAACAGTCACATCTAACTTTTTTATTACAGTAAAAAACTCTCACATAAAGTCACATTTTAACTTAAATTAAAAACTCAAATCGGCAGACTAAACGAGCTAGTATGACTAACCATGATATTTATTTATTTATTTTTTTCCTTCACTTACAAAGTTTTTTTTTTACTAATAAAATATATGCAGTGTCATTATAAAAAAAAATTATAAGAAAACTCTGAATTTAAATTTGTATTTTTTATTCTTAATTAATATAGTATTCAATTAAATAAATATTAATTAAAAACAAAAGTAAAAATAGTATAAAAGATATTTTTTTTATTTCCTTTTTTTTATACTATTTTACAGGTTGAACCAATCACAAATCCCAATCTCGCCACAGACTGAAGACAATAAAACAGTGAATGATCAAATCAGTCAATCATACATCAATTAGTTACTTCCAATACAGCATACAGGCATAAAGTTACACTTTTTCTTAAGCAGATCATAGTTTTCGGGTTTCAAGTCAAATAAATGCCCACTTTGCCGATTAAGGAGGCTAAGGAAACATTCTTATTGTCAAATAATCTGATAAGGGCTTGTTTTTTTTTTACTGATATCATTTGAGTTAGAGAGAAAAATATTATAATAAAAATATTAAATTTAAATTTTTATAAAAAAAATACTATTGTAATATGATTTAAGTCATAAGATAAACACACCCTTATTAATTCTGAATAATAATTTGATTTGATTTTTGAGGAATCAAATTGCACAAATGTTTTTATGTCTTGGGCTCTAATCATTCAGAGAGGGAGACCACTCAAAAGCTAGAAAGATGATGAACATAGAATTGAATGCTCACTTCTCTCTAGCTAAGTAGCTCTAGCTGGTTTACAATTAAGAGGTCTATAGAGAATTGGCAGTCACGGTGGGACACAAGCAAATAATGCATTAATCAACGGATTAATTAATTAAGAACCCGTTTAATTTATTTATTTAAAATTTTAATTTAAATTAAGATGTAATTTTATATAATAATTTTTTATTGTAATAAAAAAATTAAATGTGATTATTTTTAAAATTTTTTTATTATAATAAATTTTAAATTTTAAATTTAAATAAATAAAATGAACGGACTTAAATAAACATGGGAACAAAATCCTAAGAATTGTACCCACTTTTGCAAGGTTATTTATGGGGTCTTGTGATCAGCTGGTGACCTGCGGCTTCTAACGTTGTGGGGGCACTTTCTGTTTTCTTGTGTTGGGTCGTCTCCTTCTGATCTGTTGCACATGGGAAACCAATGGCCCTTTTGAGGATGAAGATAGCAATGAAAATTTGTTGGGAATGATGTCATTGTTTATTGAAACGTTTGGTTCATGGATTAGAATCATGAGATTATAATTATTTTTAATTTATGTGTATTTTTTATGAGAAAAAATACTGTAATAAATCACGAACTATGATTCGAATCGGGATACGAATCCTCTAACCAAACAACTCATATGAAATATGAAATTATGTTCGGTTATTTTTTCTATGTTTATTAATCTTTCAGGTGTATTTATTTATGTGGGTATATTTCTGAAAACATATATTCAGTTATAGCTTTATAAAATGAAAATAAATTTCAATTATTTTTTATTTTCTTAATTAAAATATTTTTATCACTTTCTAATTTTGTTTTAGTTTCTAAAGTATTTGCTAACTAAATGTTATTTAGAAAACGCTTTCGCCTTTGTAATTGAAAAGACATGCAAAAATATTTTTAAAAACAAACGAAATCAGCAGCAAAGACCCCCCAAAGTTCTCTCTCAAATCCAACTTCTTTCACTTCATTTTTTTTATTATTATTTTTTATTTATTATTATTTTTTACTAATAACTGCTTAGATTGTTTTTTTAATCCTTCAATAACTAAAAAAAAGGAAGATATACGTGCACATTTTAAAAGATTATCCTTTTTTTTAACTGTCTTTTGTTCCTTTTAAATTATTTTGCTCTGATCTACATTCTGCTTGACCAACATTAAGCTTCATCAAGCTAGTGTAGTTGCTTGTAATCATATCCTATTAGTTGTACATATGTTCTAATGTGTCGCAAACTATTCTTTTATACTCTTATCAAAAAATTGTTATAATTTTTTGGTTGAAATTATTTCAATTTCTTATGGCAAATCAAGTTTGTTTCACAAATATTTCACGGCACGACAACGTAGGAATGACATTATTCTATGTAGAAATGGCTCCATAGTAATTCACACCGAATAAAATGAGGATGAAAAATAATAATAGGGGATAGGAATAGAGATGAGAACAAAATTTTATCCCCAACTTTTAGCGAGACGGAGACCGAGAAAGCACTCCTCACCCAACTCTTACCCCGATATACATAAGTTATATATAATATAATATATTTTATGTAACTATACATACATATACTTTTTGCATTTGATAATTATTACTTTTAATAAGACTTTTTTTAACTCCACACTATTTTTTCATATGTTTTGAATTTAGTTTGTATTAAAGAACCTTTGGTCGTGTTTGGAATTGATCCCGTTTTTATTTTTCACATTTTTTGAAAAAGAAAAAATAAAAATATTTTTAAAACGACATTTGACGCAATAAAGATAAAAAACAGAAATGAAAATGATTTTTTGGTTTAGTGTAAAATGAGAGAGAAATGAAAAATGACTTTTAGTCGTTTTTTATTTTTTGCTTTTGTTTTCTCTTCTTTCGAGCAGAGAGAGACATTAATAAGTTTTTTATACTGAAAATAATCTCTTGATAAAACTACCAAATGCATTTTTAAAAATAATTTATGCATGAGATTGAAAATGTTTTCATTTTTATTTTCATACAAAAAATAAAATCATTTTAGAACAAGTTCTAAACACGCTCTTTCATTTTGGTCTAAGGGGATGTTTGGTTGGAGGAATTAAACTATGATTTGAATCATGGTTCATGGTTCGTTATAGTGTTTTCTCTTATAAAAAATACACGTAAATAAAAAATGATTCTAATCACATGATTCTAATCCATGAACCAAACGTCTCTTAAATTTATATTGAGTTTCTACTTTATTTTTGCTTGAAGTTAAAATAATTTTAAAATGTTTAATTACATTTAATAAAAAATGTGATGGGTATAGAAAAAGCATTTTTAATAAGAAATTTCTAATTCCGTCTCGCTTCTCCTTAAATAAAAATGAAGATGTGAATGAGAATAATTTTAAAGGATGGAGATGGAGATGGTAAATTATTCCCCGCCCTGCAAGCGATCGAGGCTCGTTAATTGCAAACATAATTGAAAACGGTGATCATGAGATAATGATGTGAGTCTGTAAGCTAATACTCTGATCGGGATGTGTCGTTTGACAAAGTGCCATTACGATTTTGTGATAATTGCTATCAATCACAAAGCACATGTCACATGTCGTTTGTTGTTTTGTTTTATTTTATTTTGTTTAATAGGAACCAAGCGTTTATATATTTAAGCCTCATTGAATAACACTCCTGAACTGGTCCAGAAGAATTTGAGGGGACAAAACTTATTTTAAGCCGTAAGATTTATATCATATGTTTTACAGTTATAATTTTAATCGAATTTAACGTTTAAGAATATAGACTCCACTATTATGTTCTTATCATATAAATACTCAAGAAATGGACCCATTACTAAAAGCAAACAAACATGGAGGAATCTTGTGATAAGATTAAAAAAAAAAAAAAAAAAGGTTTCTATACGGATTTTAGCTGCGGTCTTTGTATTAACGGTTAAAAAGCTGTCTTTAAGTTAAATCACTATAATCTGTCTGGTGGTTTTCAGTACTACTATCACCACAGCCAATTCACTGGCTTGATCTCCCAATTCACTGATTCTTGAAGATTTTCGTGTAAGTATGGAAAACATTAATGAGAAAACGTCCAAGCTGGTTTTTTTTTCGTTACTAAGGATCAGGATTTAATGGAGTAAATAATTGTAGAATTCTTTTGCCAAATACATATACATTAGATATGATTAAAGAGCTGTTTTGGGCTATTGACAGCTTTAGAATTGAAACTAGATTTAGTTGAGAAATTTGTGTTATGATTAGAATTATAATTCGTAATTTATTATAATATTTTTTTTTATAAAAAATACGTATAAAAGAAAAATAATTTTAAATTATAATTGAGATTTTCTCTCTTCTGTTCTAGGCCTGGTTGACCACAGACGAATTCGTACACTTGCGAGAGATAATTTTTGTAAAAAAGGGTCTTTGTCAGTTTTTGGATTTATGTGCATCTAACACATAGATAGATAGATTATAGATACGGAGAGAGAGTTTTATTGTGTTTTTTATAATTTATTTATTTCATAGGAAAATTTTCACATCACGATGAATTGTCGAAAGGAGAAGTGCACTACTATAAAGAAAGGAGAAGTGTGTTCCAGTTCCACATCTCATTCTTCTGTTTGACAAGAAGGTGAAGAATCAGTCTTCTGAACAGTAAGATCTCCCAGACAAGACAGAAAAAGATTTCCAAGTGGAATTTTTTTGAGGCATTTTCGGAGGTTTATATATATAATTCTCTAGCTCTGTTTTGTTGTTTTGTGATATCTCCTATTTCTCTGATTTTTCATTACCAATTAAAAATGGGGTCATCTTTGGTCTCTTGACCTGAGGTTCTAATCCCACATCTCTTTCTCTGTCCTCTCTCTCTCTCTCTCTCTCTCTCTCTCTCTTCACAGTTCCAACATCCTTTTGAGTTCATTTCATCACTCACTTCCAAGAGAAGAAGAATAAAAAAGTTGGATCACTATCACCATCATATGTGAAACTGATAAAAATGATGAAGACAAGGATTTTGTGCTACATTCTAATGGTTTCTTTGAGTTGGGTTTCTGTGACAAGCAGGCCTTTTGCATCACGTAATGATTTTTCTGCCCAACAAGGTAATAAGCTGTATATTGCAAAACTTCCACAAATCACATCTCACTGCAACAATTCATCTGTTATTATTCTCCTTCTTTCCACTCCCAAAGAAAGAAATGGGGAAAAAAGTATACTTGTTTTTTCACTCAAAATAACCTTTGTTGTCACTTTCTGATTTCGGTTCATATGCATGATTAAACAGACCGAGTTCCTCATCTCCCACAAAACACCTTTGACTCAAGTGAGGTACATCTCTCTCTCTCTCTCTCTCTCTCTCTATATATATATACACACACACACACACACATATAAGCTTTTGTAACGTTTGGTTGAAATCTTTGTTTGTCATAACTCATAAGGGAGTTAAGAAGGGCATTGAAGGAACATCATATGGGAATGAGGAAGAGTTGTATAGTTCGTTAAGCAGGCTTGGGTCAAGACCACCAAACTGTTCTCACAAATGTGAAGGTTGTTACCCTTGTGAACCTGTTCAGATACCAACAACCAGTGACCGGGTTGGTGTCCAGATTGCAAATTATGAGCCAGAAGGATGGAAATGCAAGTGTGAAAATTCCTTCTTCAATCCATAATGAACTCAACATAATCTTATATTATATCTATATACAAATTTCATGTATAAACTCCGATACCCTTTTGTGAGTTTTGACAAATTTAGGGAGCCTTAGAGAGGAAACAAGCAATCAAGTTGTAAGCTGATTTGAAACTTCTCTTTACTCTTTTAATTTTGGTACATGTCTTTAATGCTAATTATGGGAGATTCCTAATTAGAAAATCATCTCATGATGTGTTGTTGTTATTTTATTAGCACGTGTTATTATTATTAGTATGTTGCAGATTTTTCAGAAATTAATCACTTATTTGTGGGGCTGCATTGAATTAAAATAAACACTTTTAATATTGTTTGGGCATGATTTTTATCTTTATTCTTATATCTAATTTTTTTTTTGTATTTGTACAATTATTGGCACATTTGATTTGCCATATTAAATGATACTTGGACAGTGTCTGGTCACTGTCTCACTGGTATAGCTTAAATAACCAGTTATATATTTATAATGCACAAACCACCATAACACAAAGTAAAATTTATACAGCCATTGACTTGAAAAGCCAAGAGATAAGCTGGTACCATGGGGTTTGATCCTTTGTCTTTGGCTTTATTTTTGTAAACTAGATGCCATGTTTGTCTTTCACTATATTAAGAAACAAATAACAAAGAGCAAAAGGGCAAAAAAAAAAAAAAAAACCCACCAAAAAAAAGAAAAAAAAGAAAATAAAATTTGATCTTGTGGTACAATAAAGGAATATCCGTCTAGATGGTTCCAAGGAAGTATGTTAGGAACTTTCATGACTTGACGCTAATTTGGAAACATACTCCATATATAGGTATAAACTTTGTGCCATATTTTTATTGTTTGGTAACATAACATTATGCAACCGTTTCAAGTGCAATGGGGTGTGCTTAAAGTTAAATTTACAATTATTTAGAAGAATAGTCATGGAATTTGAGTAGTTTGAATGTTTCTTTTATTTGACATTATTTTGAATTAGATTGACCATTCTTTATAAAAAAAACGTATAAAAGATGAGTGGTTGAACCTAACATGGTAGCCAATGTTTTTCTTATAGTTTTTCTTTTTCATCCTTAAATGCAATGCTCATGTATTATGAGTTCTTATTTGCTATTATTTTTCTTAAATAATAACGTAATCACACTTACAAAAGAAAAAACCACTAACAATAGTGTTAAAATTAATCTTTCACATATCTATAAAAAAAATCAAGATTAACATAAAATTATTGGGTAAATAATAATGTACTAATTTAATTTTAATAATTTGAAATGTTAAAAGATGTAACAATTTTTGAGTTATGAAAGCCAAGTATATGTTAAAGGGCGTCGTCTTAAAAAAAAAAATGTACGTATGCTAGAATCATAATAGTGGAAACTTCTAAAAAAAAAAATCATAATAGTGGAAAAGTTTTTCTTTTTAATTTTCCCATTAAATTAACTCGCGTATGACACGAGGATAAGATTTATTAGCAACAAATTAATTACATAATTACAATTCTATCCTCGTCCTTAGAAAATCCAGTGGTGTATAACGTCCTGTATGAGAAGATAAAGCAGTCACGTGACTTACGATCTCCACGTGACATCTGGGCAAAAGCGTCATCTACTTTCGTGTAGTCTTGACCGACCTGACAACTTTCCTTACGCGTGGCCTACACGCGTTCACGAGTACTCCTTTTGGCTTTTGCTTTTCCACAAACAAAACGTTAAAATAAAATAAAATAAAATAAAATGAAAAGATAAAATAATAAAAGGAGTAAATTGCACTAATGTACACAATTTATCTATTTTACATAATACACCTTACCTTCCAAATTTTAACAAATTATACCTTAAAATTTTAAATTAATAATACCTGAAATTCAATATTTCCTAAATTATTAAATTAACGATTTAAAATATGAGATTCAGATAATTTGATTTAAAAATGATTGGCTTTATCTTTTATTTTTAAATTTCTAGTGTATTAAATTGCCAAATGCTCTTTAATTATTAAAACTCAATCACTGCTGATTTTAAAGTTTAAAGTGTAAATACGTTATAATTAAAAATTTAAGGTGTATTGTGTAAAAAAAATTGTAGAGAGTACGCAATGCAATTTACTCAAAAGAAAAGCCATAACACCGTTTATTATTATTATTATTATTAGTTTTTCGGTGAAAGAAAGAAACAATTCAATAAAACCGTTTTAGTTCTCTTTCTCCGTAGCTTTTGCTCTGTCGGATTCAATCAAAGAAAGAACAACAACAACACAACTATGAGAGAGAGAAGAAGAAAGAGAGACATGGTAGAGCTTCTTCACGCTTTTTGCTTTTTTCCCATTTCTGTAATCTAACCCCCCAAACCCTAGATCTTCCTTAGAAACTAGAATTTTTCCCCATTTGATTTCATTTATTTCCAAATTTTTTCATTCTTTTGTTAATTTGGGGGGTTCGATTGGTCGGATTATCGACTTTTCTGCGTTTGTTTTGGCCAATTTTTTGTTATTTCTCTTTTCAAAAAGTCTTTCGGAGTTTGATTTTCGTTAGTTTTTCTGCTTGGGGTTATAGTTTTCTTGCGTTAGGGTTTGATATTGTAGCTGGGGCTTCAATTTTTGACGGTGCGGGAATGGAGCCTCGTGTTGGGGGTAAGTTTCGGCTTGGTCGGAAGATTGGTAGCGGCTCGTTTGGGGAGATCTATTTAGGTTTGTTTGCTTTGTTTTTCCTCTTCTTCTTTGTTAATTTTCTTTCTTCTTTTTCTCGAGAATTTGATAAATGGTTGTTCAATGTGGGTGAATTATTTTGCAGGAACTAACATCCAGACTAATGAAGAGGTTGCGATTAAGCTTGTGAGTTTTTTGTTCTCTTCATTTTGCTGATAAATTTTGCGAAGTTTATTGAATTTTTGCTCTTAGTTTATTGTATTGTTAAACTATATGGATATTGTGCTTTGTAGAGTACTTGAGAACCCAATTTTCATCCTTTTACTATGGTGGGTTGTGGGTTCTTTTCTCAATTTTATTTGACTTGCCTAAAATTTCTCAATTAGCACCGATTTATACTTTGTGGATTACTGGAGAGTAACATTGCAAATTTGCAATTGAGAGACGTGGCCCTTTTTTTTTTGTCAATTTTTTTAGATAATAAAGAGATACGTGGCTCTTGTACACATATATGAGATGAGACAAATGATGTCATGTATAGATAGTGTAAAAGGGTATTATTACTCTTTAGATACATGAGAAAAAGAGCTATGATATGGTGGGAGAACAGTAATATCATTCTTTCAACTTTGTGGCTTGGACTGGTGGTTAACTTGATATTGATGCTTTTGCTGGTAATAAATTCCTTAGTGCATGAAAATGCTCATTTTCTTCTTGTTGCGTATGTGTAGGAAAATGTCAAGACAAAGCATCCTCAGTTGCTGTACGAATCAAAGCTATACAGGATCCTACAAGGAGGAAGTAATGGATTTTATTTGTTTTATTAGATAATTGATTATAGTTTATTCATTTTTTAATAGCCCTTGGAAGTGTGAGACATTTTAATGTTTTTACAAATTTTATTGTCGGTTATTTTGGCCTTTCCTTTTTGTGAATTAACTCGTGTCGTCCTGTTTTACTATTGTAGCGGGGATTCCAAATGTTAGATGGTTTGGAGTTGAAGGAGATTATAATGTTTTAGTGATGGATTTGCTCGGTCCTAGCCTTGAAGATCTTTTCAACTTCTGTAGCAGGAAACTTTCTTTGAAGTCGGTTCTTATGCTTGCTGATCAAATGGTAGGTATTGTTGTTTTATGTTTTTGTTTTGTTAGTTATGTTCTTTCAATTATTAATCCAATTTCAACTGTTTTGGACTTTTGTTTCAGATCAATCGTGTTGAGTTTGTTCATTCAAAATCATTTCTACATCGCGATATTAAGCCAGACAATTTTCTCATGGGCCTGGGAAGGCGTGCCAATCAGGTTTTTTTGCTTAATTTTATATTTTTACGAATATAACTAAACTGTTCTGTACTTATGTAGTATCTTTTTTCAGGGTGTCTTTTCCAACATGGTATTTGCTTTTCACTTCCATGTAGGTTTACATTATTGACTTTGGTCTAGCTAAGAAATATAGAGACACTTCTACCCATCAACATATTCCTTACAGGTGATTGTCTGAGCTTGTACCTTTTTATTTTATCTTGACATACATATGCGATAACTTGTCTTTGAACAATTTAAGCTTAATGTCATATGATTCATGGTTGTGAACACTGCAGAGAAAACAAGAATTTGACTGGAACTGCAAGATATGCAAGCATGAACACGCATCTTGGCATTGGTATGTCCCGTCTTCTTTTTGCTTTTGGGGTTATCAAATAAAATTTCCTTAGATTAGTTCCATCTCTTGGTTTTGTAACGTGTTTTGTCTGACGTCCTGAACCTTGTAGAGCAAAGCCGGAGGGATGATTTAGAATCTCTTGGATATGTCCTTATGTACTTTTTAAGAGGAAGGTAAATGTTATTTCCTGTACTGTCTGTTATATTCTTGCAGGAATATTGATATTTGTTTGCTAATAAATCTTTACTATATAGTCTTCCTTGGCAGGGATTAAAAGCTGGAACTAAGAAACAAAAGTATGAGAAAATTAGTGAAAAGAAAGTTTCCACGTCAATTGAGGTATGAAGTAAACCGCATTGCTGTATCTTTTGCTTTCTGTCTGGTCTCTTGAATTAATGGTTTTGATTATATTTGCAGGCCTTATGTCGTGGATATCCATCCGAATTTGCATCATATTTCCATTACTGTCGGTCACTACGTTTCGATGATAAGCCAGACTATGCATATCTGAAAAGGATATTCCGTGACCTTTTTATTCGTGAAGGTTTTAGTTTTTGATTCTTATAATGAGAATTTATGATAATGTTTTAATAATGTATGTACATTTTTATCCAGTTTTATGTTACAGCCTTTACTTGAACTATATGGGATAGGATTTACTTTGCTTATTGATATTGGCTTTAGGTTTCCAGTTTGATTATGTCTTTGATTGGACAATCTTAAAGTATCAGCAATCACAGCTTGCAACTCCGCCAACCCGTGCTCTTGTGAGTGCTTTTAATTTTTGTCTTACTTTTTTATTAGTGTTCAGGGCAGTTTTATGATGTTTTCTCCTTTAGGGTCCTGGTGCGGGAACTAGTTCGGGGTTGCCCATTGCTGCCGCCAATGCTGACAGGCAGACAGGTACATTGTTAGCTGGCTTTTCCCTCAGATTGAGGCAAATGTTTTCTTTTCTGTTTTTAGGACTATAATGTGTTGGCAAACAAAATAAAGTCTTCCATCAGTGACTGTACTTTTGTCTTGCTTCTTGAGGTGTTAGTTTTTGATAGTTCCTCTTCTCAGCTCTTTCTTTGGTTTCTTTATTAATTTTTATGTATGATATACCATCTGCAATCCTTTATTGACACCCTTGTTTCTCTTGACATCCCTACAGGTGAGGAAGAAGGGCGACTGGCTGGTTTGTCTTCCATGGATTCCAGGCGAAGAATATCAGGACCGATCTTGACCTCTGGAAACTTCTCAAAACAGAAGAGTCCAGTTGCTCAAGAATCTGCATTTAGTAAAGAGGCTCTGGTGTGTATTTATTTGTCGACATGCTAATTTTTTTATGTCAAAGTTTAATTCTATGTTTGTCATTATTGGGTATAAATTTTCTGATTGGTTTCTACTTCCTATGTTTGTGATTCTGGTTTTTTCAATTTTTAATTTCTTAACTCTTATTATCTTGTTCCATGCCTTTTATGTTTGTGTTGTGTTGCCCATTCACTAATTGCATGTTGCTGGGCCGTTGCAGTTGTCAAATTCCAACATATTGGCTCGCTCAAGTGGATCATCAAGGCGAGCTGCTGTTTCCAGCAGCCGTGACGCACTTGTTGGAAGCGAGTCTGATCCCCATCGATCGCGTACAGCTGAAGCAAGCCCTGGAGCAGCATACAGAATTTCAAGTGGGCAAAGAAGTTCACCGGTTGGTGGATCTTCGGAGATCAAGCGCACATCATCCGGTAGACATACCTCCCATGTAAGGATCTTTGAAGGTGCTCTCAAAGGCATTGAGAGTCTACAACTGGACAACGAGGAGAAGGTCCATCATTAAAAGACTCGCCTCCGCAAATTATTGTGGGTGGTTTTCAGTTGGTGTGCTGCTATTAAACTTGCAGTAGAATGGGTTATTTTTCTAAGAGTTTCTGAAGGACGTTATGACTTGACTGCTGGAATTCTGGGTTTGAATTTGTGGAGTTGTAGCTAACTTGAACCAAGTCTTGACTCTTGAAAGCTAAGTTCATCTTGACTTGGACAAAGGGACGTCAGTCTACCAGCAGTTGGCTGTTTAAATGCTTCTTTTGGTTGGCATTCAAAAGAATGGGAACGATTAAATGGTTCTGGTTACAACTCTTTTTCTTCCGTCGTCTAGTTGTGTGTTACTCGCTTGTCCTTGATTTCTAAGATATGCTTTACAATGATGATGTTTTGCACTACAACATGTTGGCGCCATAAAAATTGGCCATTGTATTCATATCTTTTAATTCTTAACAATGTTCATGCTACTATGATAAACCAAAGAGAAAAAAAATGTAGTATGAAAGATTTGCACCAAGATGTGTACTGCACTTAGATATCCCCGTCCTGTGCTTAGGAGGTTTGGCTGTTCGCTGGCCGAGACAGAACTATTATGCTAATAATTCAATTGCTTTTCCCCTTGATTTGTTGCAAAATTTGTCCTTGCTTCATTGTACGAATGTTGTTGTGAGTTGATCTCGTATTTTCTTCAGATTATTAGGATTTAGTCACTTGTGCTTAATGGACCTGCGTCTCTTTTGCAATTAATTCTTACAAATTATATTCATGTTGCTAAATGATTTTAGGAAATGTTCAGTTTGGCAAATGTAACATAGGTTGTTCCTTTTTTTAACATAGTTTGTAAGTTTATATGGCATTCTTTGTACTTTTTAGTAACAATTAAGTCTACTGTCATATGACATTGAAGTTGTTTCACTGTTACCATGTTTACCAAAGTTAGAAGTTTGTATGAAAGACGCTTTGTTATGGCCGTTGGACTTAAAGACGATTCTAACGTCTCTGATTAATAGTACCACCGTCTGGTATTACAAAAAGCGACCTATAAAAAAGAAGTTTCATCTTCAAAACCAATAAATAACACGTAAATATTTGTACCCACAAACTTCAAAATGATAAAAGCCTAAGATGGTGGGGGGTAAAAGTCACCAGATGCAAAGTTACAAAAGTACGGCAGTTTCTGTCTATCAGAGGATGGGAAAACCAAAGCAAACTGTTAGCAATGATTCTCACTCTCGATAAGGGATATAGAGAAAGGGAAGTTTGATGTGGAAAGTAGAAAGCATATCTTCATGGCTGTGCTCTCAACTCAAGAAACCAGCAAGAATCCAAAACTGATATTTTCCAACCAAAGGTGTTGAATACAACAGCAAAGATAAAAAAACAGGGTGTTATAAAGAATGGTGTTGAATACAACAGCAAAGATAAAAAACAGGTTGTTATAAAGAAACAAACTTCCAATGCATTGCTATATTACAAAACTGATACAGGAGTATACTCAATTTAGATCAAATCTTTCAACTGATATCCATTTTATTTTATGCCTTTTGACTTCCATTAAGATTATGATTTTGCCTAGACAAAGTATTGTAGCATTCAAGACCAAAGTTTAAACCCTGCAGACAATAATTCTAATGGAATCAACAAAGTTGAGGCAACTGTGATGGGAACTTTCTCCTCTCATAAGATTACTCCACAGAGAGAGAGAGAGAGAGGAGGGGGTGGTTACATTAGCGACCCCCCCAAACCGCAAAATGCCGTTCTTGCCAAGGCCGTATGTCTTTTCTTAGCCTACTCAAGTCCAAACCATTGGGACCCTAGAGACCATAGAGCTCGTAGATCCCAAAAACGCATGGTTTCCCCTCCAAAATTAACTTCCAGAAAAAAAAAAAAAAAAACTTCTGCTGTAGCATGTTGATATGAGGTTTTTTAATTCATAATGGGGGTTATATATTCTCGAGTAAACCAATGTGGTCCAAGACTGGAATGGGAAACATCTAGGAAAGCTCCTTAAAGATTATTAAATCCAAACTTTCTATTGAAGCATCACTATTTGCGCCTTCCCTGCCCCTAAAACAATATACCTCAAATGAGGAATGACACAGAAATTTGGGGTCTTACACGGTCACACCCTCCTAAATTCCAATGAAACAAATTAAAATTCTCTACTGCAGCTTCTTCCATAACCTTTTTATCTCTCCAAAATCCCACCAAAATCCCATCTTGAGATGTGAATTTGTTCTGAGAATCACTCTTATTATTCCTTATCTCCCAACTTTTTACAAGAAAATGGCGAATCCATTTCTCTTAGAAGCTTCTTCAAAGGAGGAAGCCACTTTATCTGTTTAAAATGTTCTTTTTTAACTGTACAATGGGAATTCTACCAATTCCATTTATCCAACTTCCAAGTATATCCTTTCTTCTTCCCCAAACCAGGAAAACTATTTATGCAATTATAACAAGTAAGCTTGAAATTAACTAGCAAACAAAAGTAAGCTTGAAATTGAGAAGGGGAAAACAAATATGAAGAATAAAGATTTTGCCTGCCAAGTGACTAATGGGCACTAAAAGCTTGTTGATACTAAATTATCAAATAACATAAATGAAAAAAAAAAAACCATTCTACCAATCAAATTCTGCCAGAAAGTCTCTAGCTTTGAGTTAGTATGGCCAAATAATAAGATATATAATTTCTAGGCCCAAATATCTTTTATAAACCAAATATAACAGAGCTTCCAATCCCATCATACAATCAACATAACTAAAAGAGTGTTAGAATATACATAACACTAGTATCATTATTATTCACCAATTCACACATCACATAATAATTCATGAAAACTTCATGGCTCCAGAATTTAACACTCAAATTAAAGAAAACACTACAATAATTTGGGAGATTTTGCTCAAATTAAACAACCGAAAAAAAAAAGAGAGATTAATTTAAAATTAAAATTGCAGACTACCAGCCATAAACCACTCTGGTGCACCTCTCCTTGAGCCACCTAAAGCTCTTCCTGAGAGAGCCTTTGACTTTGCCTTCCACGGCGTAGACCTTATAGCTAGCCACCCTCTTCTTCCTCTGCAACTCTGGGTCGTTGAAGCTCCACGTTTTGGAGACTGACCCATTTGTGGACTTGCCCTTCTTGAACTTGGCCTCGTGGGGTTGGGCTTGGGTTTGCGTCGGGTGCACAGAAGTCGCGTACGACGCACTGTAACACCGCAGATCTTGCATACCGCTCACGACCCCGCCGCCGCCGCCGTTTGATGATGATGATATTGATGATGAAGTAGGTCCCATCCCGTAGTAGCTCTCTATCTGCATTTTGCCGTGACCCAATGATTTGGATCTGAAGTCCTCCATGGCTTCGCTGAGAAAGCTGGAAGGTTTCCCTCTCTCCCTCTAAGAAGGGTCGGTTTCTCTCTCTATAATATATCTGTTGTGGAGCTTGATTAATAAAAGCGGCTTTGTTGAGGAGGTTTGACATTTTCACAGTTGCATAATTTTTATTGTTCTCTCTTTTGGTCGTCTCTTTTGAATTTTTCTTTTTTTATATATATTTATATTTTTGATAATTATAAAAAAAAAGAATTTTTCTTTACTGAAATAATGAATAAAGAGAGACTGCGATAGGCTCTGATTATCATGACGTTTGCGTCGGTGGTACTGTTATCAATAAGAAGCATTTTATTAATATTATAGTAATTAATATTGTAATTGAATAAGAATGCTTACCTTCCATCATGGAATACTGATTGATTTTTCATTTTTTATTCACATGAGGATTTTGTTAATTACAGTGCTCGTCAAAAATCACGTGATTGACCATAGGTTTCTCTTGAAAGAATACCTTTTTTTCCCTCTCTCGAAAGGAGAACCTGACTACAAGATTTCAGGTACATACATCGATATTGACGGAAAAAAGAAAAAAGAAATATCAATTTCATTTGAGGTTAGAGTTTTTTATTGTAATAAAATTTAAATTTTAAATTTAAATTAATGATATTAACGGAGCTTTCATAAAAATATAGTGCGCAGGGAAAAAAAAACTACTAATCTCACAAAAATATCATTACACGTGGTGCGAAGACTCATTGATATTATCTAGCAAAAAATGGTATTTGAATATGATGCATTTGATTAGTCAAAGAGCTAAAGCGCTATTCCATTATTGACACTAATTTTGATTATGTGGGTGCTTAATTCCATTTCTTTCTAGGTAAGCAGAATTACCCCCTGATTGCAATTCAGGATTGCACAAAATCTCACAACGAACAAATGAAAATATTAGGACTTTTTTGGGCACTCCACCAATAAGGACTATGTTTTAACAATTTTTCTAAAATGCAATAAAAGCAACGAACAAATGAAAATATTAGGACTTTTTTGGGTACTCCACCCATAAGGACAATGTTTTAACAATTTTTCTAAAATGCAATAAAAGCAATTCTGAGTCGCATACATGCACACAGCGACACAGCTAACTGTCAAACAATTAAACGACAGCTTCTACTAATGGAGCAAAATAACCTCTTTTCCACCACAAAAATTTCCAACTCTTTCTTAGTGATGCCGAATTGGACCACGTGATGTGTGGGGAAGCAAGCTGTCATAGTGAGGCCCTCATTCCATGTGAAATGATAGAGGAAAAGAAAAAAAAAATGGCAAATTAGTTGACAAAGATCCACGGGACTTACTCGACAGTTTGTACCAAATTAGGCTCCGTTGGTGAGACCTTCGAATGCGACGTGCGTCAATTTGAATTCTTTTAGGAGGGAACACAATGATAACTATCCAAACCAACTACAAATTGTGAAAAGGACGCTTTTAGAAGAGAGAAATCAACCTTTTTAAGGATCAGAGTACTAGTTCTAAATACACCATGTACGAACGCTTCCTATTGTAGGCCACAACGATAATCAAGCCATACAATCCGGTGCATTATTATTTGGTAAGTATAGCTCAAAAATAATGCATTTGACAAAATAGGCACAGCGCTACGTCGAAAAAAATTATTCAAGATTGCATCAAATGAATTCTGCTATGATTCAAGTAGACTTTACAGTTCCATGGAAACAATGGAGTGGCGAATTCTATTAGCACGAATTAATCCCGAAACATGTACAAGTTTTCTCCATAACAGTCGATAGAATGCAAGTGCCCTACAATTGTGATGCTTAGTCAGTGGCATAGGCATTCTACCTCAGAAATGTATGTTCAGTTTTATGTACATTAACAAAGAATTAACTGAAGTAGAAATCGTTTGAAGTGGACAATGGACATGGTGACGAAAAATATGCCCGGGAAGCTGGTAAACCATCAGAAGCAGCACGCTGCCGCAGATATAAAGTTGCTCCAAAGTTTGGCACGTCAGTGGCAACTTTGATCCAAGAGAGATCCAATCCACAGTGAAAGAGAACAGAGTTTTGTAATCTATTTCAGTCCCTTTGTAATCTATTAGGTTTTCCCTTTTTGGTTCATCACGTCATGGTAATATAAGAGAACACACATAGGTTGACCCAGAATGCAGAAAATGAACCAGAATATCATATTCCCCACCTGGAGACAAAAAGTTAAACATACTCATCAAGAAGATTGGATAAAATTTTTTTGGATAAGACGATGATTGGATAAATAAACAAGTACAATTCAGAAATGGAATAAAATTTTCCGAGTATGTAGACAAACTAGAGTGAACAATGTGCCATTTTTCCACTAGACCTAGACAACCCAGGAGGACACTGTCATAACAAATGTGGAATTGGATAACTGGTAGTCCTACCAAATACCAGGTGGATTATTGCACGGAAGCAAACTGACAGAGCTTTTAAGTCATCAAAACAACATGAATTCATTTCACCCCAATATTCAGATATTTAAAGTCACTAATGTTATCTATTCGAAAGCAAGGATCGACATGTAACTGTGATAAAATAACCATACCATTGAGCTTTTGAACTTATTTTGCAGATAATTTGTGATCAAGACCAAGGGAACCTGCATCGAAAAACATCTGTAAATCCTATGCCTCCTTAAGTTCGCCAGGGGAGGGGGGGTGTGTGCAGTTTTTCAAAAAGGCGCACAAATTTATGCTAATACTTTACAAAGGTGATTAAAACAAACCTGTAGACGTAGAGGAAGGTTATTTACCTGGACCATGATCCCAATAAACGCCCATAACTTGAATATGTGGCATGGAACAGCAATACACAGCTGAAGACCAATGACAATAGGATCACATGCCAGCATTAGTAAATCAGTGTTGATTAACAAAGATATTCACACACGTAATCAAAAGAATGAGCAACAATCATTAATTGTTGCAATTTCAAAATTTTACGGTCAAAAACACATCTTTCAGTTTCTGTCCTATTATAACAATCACCCCCCTTTTGCAGAAGCACACAAGGGAAAGACAAAATCCTTGAGCAGTCTTTAATGGATTAAAGATTGTTTACAAGATTGCTAAACGAGTACGCACGTAGCACATAGCTCACAACATGCGCGCGTGCGCGCATGGCTTCTAATGTTTACAAGTGCATAATATTATTCAGAATCCACTCACCAAGCAAACATTCTCGTTGAATATATGTGGATAAAAAAGTTGAAAAGAATAAATGCAGATATGAGAATCCATCATTAGATTTCTATTGAATAAATGTGGATAATGAAGTTCTACAACCGCAGGTAAAATAATTAGTAAACAAAGAATCCTTGTTTCGCAACAAAAGAAATGCGAAAGTGAAGTGGTATACCTCATGAAAAACAGCAGAAACTAGGAACGCAATTAAGACGGCAGCTCCCTGGATTAAACAAAAGGGTTAAAATTAACTCAGTACTCTACAACAACTTTCACTAGAAATCTCAATGCTGCACTCTGCTCATAAACATCCAAAAGCTTAGGATGACCTTTGAGAAAGGAATCTAATTAAATACTAATGGCTAAAATGCTAAGTTACGCACGTCCGGTGCTTGATAAATCGTACTTTGTGTTGACGAACAACTATTTCTTTGTTGCTTTCTATTTTAGATGTTTTCTATCACTAGACCCTTTTATTATTATTCTTAGTCATTTTCCTCTTATTGTATAGGTCACTTGCCAGTCTTTGTTTCATGTCTCAAAAACTTAATATGTGCTCTGCAAATGGAATATTAATTACCTTTGGTATTCCGTTTCGTAAGCAGGGAAAATAGATGTGGCGAACCATCCATTTATGAACAGGCTGCGACAAAACACACCCAGTAAGTAATAGAATCCACGAAAGACATAATCAAGAGACAATCAGATTCCCCCGTGACAACAAACTCATTCTACTAACATGCTACATTGTTATTCATAGTTTCCATACGAACCACAACTCTACAATATTACAAAAATTTTGTCTCCGATAGCAAGCACATAGGCAATTGCATAATCCAGTGATCTGAGCATGCTAGAGATGAAACAATAAGAATTAATATGGCATAAAGACAAATTCAGTCTATCATAGTTCCAATCCAGATAGCAAAAACTATACGAGTAGCAATTACTACAATAAAATTTTTAACAAGAAAAGGCCATATAAAACTTGAACCTAATCAAGATAACCTACCATATTCCACAGTTTCCAATACTGATCCAGCCACGGATGATTGGACCAAGGGGGACATGCAAGGAAATCAAACAGTTAAGATTTTTCTCCAGCATGGGTTGATAGAAAACATGGCAAAAAGCAGAATACATAGTCATAAAATCTACCTCCTCCACTGTTTTTGCATTCCACCAGTCCTTGTAGAACTCTCTATCACCAAAGCGGAGAAGCTCAGCAAGTATGTTTAACCTATATTCGCAACACTATATGTAAGTTAAGAATTTGAAGAAAGAACTAGATTAGAAAATCATTAGCTTAGATACCAGCACCCTATACACGTGCGCGCACTGAAAAGTTGGAGGAAAGAAGGAAGAAAAGACCTGTTGAAGCAAGAAGTATAGACATACCACAGGTGAAAAAAACAGTAGAACATGCAGAGCCACACATATAGGTTTGGAACTGATAGCTTCAAAACCCTCTCTATGGCATACAAACAATTTCCCTTCAAAGGATGTTCTGAGTTCTTGACAATAGGATTAATGTACTGGAGAAACAAACAAACATTAGAATATCAAGGCCAAAACTGGGAGGAAACAAACAGAATATTGATCAATCCTAACTTACCTGCTCTATGATAAATCCCATGAATCCTGTAAAAATTATCAACTTGATGAGTTGACGGAACACCCAACCCTTTCGAATATATGCAGTACGAGGATAGCTCGGCTGTAAAGACGATATATATTATTAAGAAAAATTGGAGAAAAACAAAAGTAAAAGAGCTAGCTATGATGTAGGATAGGATTTGAAATATGGATTTTTTTTATTTTATTTAGGATTATCGTTTAGTTTAGTTTTACCTTTTAACTTTATTTGGATTTACCATTTTGAATTTGAATTTGTTTAGGATTAGGTTTATCATTTATCTTTTAAATTAGTTCTAGTTCTATTATGATTCAAACAACAAAAGAGCTATAAATTATGTACTCCATGACTTTTATGGAATAGACAGTCATTCAGTTATCTAATAAAATTCATAGTTTTTAGCTCAAAAGCTTGCTACTCTTTTTTCCGCAGCGTAAACTTCTCAAGCTTTAAATGTAATTTGCTCGTATTGTTCACCGCGTGTGTGCGTGCGCGGTAGGAGTGATGGCAAGTTTGAATATAAAGATTTATCTCATGTAAAAAAGATTAAAGTTCAATACCTGGTAACATAGTGTTGGAGCAACCATGAAATATGCCAAACTTTTGAAGCTAACATTGTAATGGTAATCCGCATTCGGGGAACTGTGTGGGTCTTCTCCCTGTATGAACAATAATTTCTTCATCATCAATCTTAAAGTTGTAGATAGGAAAAACATTCCTCATTGTCGACACACAGTTGATGAATTTTACCTTATCAATTGCTTTGGCAACTGCTCTAAAATCGTAGTTCGAATGTGCATAAGAGACCAGTTTTAACCACACAATACAAGCAAAGAGCATCAATGTAACACCTGATAGGACGGCAGAATCACACCTGCATATGAAGACGTTAATCCAAATTATCCAATAAAGTATCTTCACTATGTGTGTTTGTATTTAAAGAAACAAGGAATTTAATTGATTGAGAAATAAAGAACAGGGAGAAAAAAGAGGAAGAGTTTTCCTCAAACAGCCCTGCTCCAAAATACAAAGAGAACCAACAAAATTAAAAACCCCAACAACTAAACCAGATCAAAGGAGAAAAGCTAAAAAAAAGGAGCCCAGCTCCTGACAAAATCCAAAAAAATCGGCTTGCCAAAATCTTTGTCCCTGTAAACCCACAGTGAGACCCAATATCTTATCTTATCCCTTAAGGCTAAAACATCTTCCTCCCGGTCTTCAAAGACTCTGCTGTTTCTTTCTAACCATATACCCCAAGGGATGGCTAAAACTGCCACCACAAAATTGACCCCCTATGGCTAAAACTGCCATCTTCACTAGTATATTTATATATGTTAGCAAATTATGGTGAAAAACATGTCATTAAAACCTAAATTTTCAATCATATATCTCCAGGAAAGGTATCAATAGACTAAAAGAAGAAACTAATACTGTATAATGAAAAGTGCAATGCCATTGAAACAAAGAAGCATGAACTAACCTAAGAATCACAAAAACTGGATACAGAATTGCTGCAGTGGTAAAAATCACATGAAGAGGAACAGCAACCTGCAGTATTAGAATTTACAATTAACTTTTGACATGTCATAGCAAGTAAAACAAGCATGGTAGGCCTGCTCTAAAATTCAACAGGCATAGTCATCTTTTTTTCTTTTTTTTTTCCCTCTCCCTTGACAGCACAATTCTACTTCTAAAGCGCAGGTAGCAAGAAAACTATTTGGTTACAGAAACTATAATTAAGTCAAAGTAGTCTAGTAGAAAGATTTGAATCACATACAAGTTCAGATATATACTTCTTTTGTACGAGCTTCTCAATTGTAAAAGCCGCAAGCGTGAATATCGGGAGAGTGAGACTGCAGTTAACAGCAAAATGAAGAACATATATTTTATCAAATGATACTGAACTAAACAAGACCCAAACACGTTAATTATCAATCATTTCATTCTCAACCAAATAGCACAAGGAAAAATACAAGGAAACATTACCAACACATAAGAAGAGGCCAATCTCGCAATGCTGTTGAACTAAACCAAAAACCGGATTTGATTAACCAACCATACTGCAACAACAAAAAGAAAACAAACCATGTAACTCTAGTTAGGCCTAAATCTACAATTCACCAATGAAATCAAGTCCAAAACCAACGAAATTAATAAAAACATGCGCATAAGTCAACATGCACGCCCATACACATTACTAGGACGCATTTTTACATACTTTCAATCACCATCCAAAAATAAAAATGAAAATAGGAAACAAACCTTCATCAAATTCTCAATGATGAGCCTGCTATTTACAGCAACAAGTACGACTATACAGAGGTTGAATAGACCTGCATGGCTCTGTCAGAATGTAAACTGATAGTTAGAAATGAACTATTCAAATCCAACTAAATGCAAACAAACAGTGCTTCCTATTAAGAAATACACTTCCATAACTAATTGAACTTAGTGCTGGCTTCATTTTTTTTCCTCTACAGCAAAATTCAGGTAATTGGTCGTTTGTACTTAAGCCAATACACAAAGTTCTAGCTAGAGAATTCATTATTAGTGACGCCGTCAGAAGAACAACTGCATCTACGGTTCCGAAATACAACGAAATCAACTAAATAGCAAATGATTTATTCCATATCCTCCGAACCTTTCGCGAATATAAAATTAACCTAACAGTCTAACCTATACTTAAGCAGAAAACTAAGTCGTCACGAATCCACACCTCAAAATTAAAAACTTAGAAAAGAAGTTCCTAGACTTTTCCTATGCAATTTTGACGCAACGTATGCTTAAAGAAGAATTCAAAAGCAAAACGCGTCGAAATGCGATGGAGCTACCTGTTGGAAGATTGCGCCGGAGCTCAGGGGACTCTCTCTCACTATCCGATGAGCAGGAGCCGACGGCCGATACGCGAGTTTCAGCTCCGCAAAATCAAGTCGCCGATCATCATCGTTTCCAAACCTCTCGAGGCTCTCCTTCTTCTCGTTCTCCGCATTGGCTGACTCCACCGGACAGTCACCGGCCCCAATCCGATCCCTATCGTCGTTCCCGACCGAGTCTCCGAGCAAATCCTTCCGCGAGTTCTCGGACTCGGGAGAGTTCGTCCACAGAGTCGAATCCGACACGGCTCCGGCGGAGCTCGGCCTCCTCCGAATCATGCCGCGGAGATCCGATTCGGCCCGAAACGTCGCCGTGGTGCCTGCGCTCCCCGGAGTTTCTGAAATCGCCATTTCAAAGAAAGCTTCAATCAATAGCTACACAGATATAGAGAGAGAGAGAGAGAGAGAGAGAGAGAGAGAGAGAGAGAGAGAGAGAGAGTTCCGCAGAGCGAGTTCTAGGGAGAGAAAGAGAGAGAAGAAAGGTGAATGAATGCAGTGCAGTTGTTAGCAAAGCGTTCGTGCTAAGGAGAGAGAAGCAGAGGCAAAATTTCTCGAAGAGGCGGTGAATGTATTGGAAAATGGAAAGCTTAAGCGCTTTATATTTATACACTGTTATAGAGAGAGAAAGAGAGGAGAGAGAGGAAAGTGCTGTCAAAGGAGGGAACGACGGAGAGAGATATTGTCAGGACTGAGGACTCATATCATAAGACCCGAAGAGACAAATTATTAATATATTTATATTTCTCTAAAAAAACAAAAAATAAATAAAAGGAAAACGAGATGGACTTTTCTTTTTCAGTGAGGAATGAGGATGGTGCGTTGTTTAATGAGGAAGGACGAGCGCCGCGAATTATAGCCACGTAAGCCCAAGCTTTTAGACAGAGTGCAGTTATTATTAAAAAAATAAACTGAGGTAAATTCTTATTTTTAATTTTTAAATCTACATAAAATTATTTATTTTACATATTTTTTTTAATTTAATGTGATTTTAATAATATTTAACGGTTAAAAATTAAGTCTTATTAAAATGAGATTTACCGGAAAAATTCTTTTTTTTTCCTTAAATTATTAATTTTTTTAAAATTTTAATAAATGTAATATTATAATTACTTCACAAATGATTCAATTTAATATTTTTATTTTGATGTTATTATAATGTACAGAGTTTTATGAGATTTATTTATTTAAATAATGTGGAACTCCTCTTCTGTACACATATTATTCTATTTGCTCAATACAATTTACCATTCCCACAATTACTTCTATTAAACTCTAAATACTGTTTAGAAAAAAATAAAACTTCAAATGGTATTAAGAGCCTTGAGGCATGGATCACTATAAGTCAAGGAACAATTTTTCCATAGCACACTTTTTTTTTTTTTTTTTTTTTTTTTTTTTTTGGGGGGAAAAAGGGGGTTTTTGATTTTTAAAAAAAAATTTCCCTTTTTTTTTTTTTTTTTTTTTTTTTTTGCTGAGGAGAAATCAGGGGATTTCGATATTTAATACAAAATTTATGCCTAGATTTTATTACCTTAACTAAGAAAAGTTGCGTATCTTTTCCTTAACTGTAAGAGGGGAAAAAAATATCTTCCTCTCTTTTTGGCCAAAACATCAAAGTCACTTTCGCTTTCAACAAAAATTTTAAAAAAAAAGGTTTGGGAGAATTATAGGGTGCATTTAGAACTCATTTTAAAATAATGCGTTTGAAACTCGTTTTAAAATGATGTATTTGAAATTCGTTACAAAATGATTTTATTTTTTGTATGAAAATGAAAACGTTTTTAATCTCAGACAAAAATCATTTTTAAAAATACGTTTGATAATTTTATCAAGATATTGTTTTTAGTATAAAAAAAAATTCATTAATGTCTCTCTCCTTGTTCGAGAGAGGAGAAAACGAAAATAAAAAATAAAAAATGACTAAAAATCGTTTTTCATTTCTATCTCATTTTACACTAAACTAAAAAATCGTTTTCATTTATGTTTTTTATTTTTATTGCGTTAAACGCCGTTTTGAAAACGTTTTCATTTTTTCTTTCTTAAAAAACGTGAAAAATAAAAACGGGATCAATTCTAAACACGATCATACGTTTTCTGACTGTTTGATGGATTCATTTACATTACGAATATTTTTATACATTTTGACGTGTTAAAGCATGTAAGATAAGAAGAATATACGCGTTCTTACTATTGATACGTATTAAGAATTTTAAATGTAATAGTCAGATTTTTTTCGTTAAATTATGAAGTTTATTTAATATGATGTATTTTTATTTGATCTGACAATTTAAAATTGTACATGAACTTGAACTAACAATCAAAAAATAATGTCCTTCAAACAGAGTATTTTGGTAGGGAAAAAAAAGAGTAATCTTGACAAATATTTTTTAAAAATACATGAAATAGAATTTTTATTCCTTAATTTTAATTAATATTTTTTTAATTAAATAATTACATTAATAAAAAAATATTAATTCAAAATAAAGAGTAAAAATCCAGTAAATTCTCTAAATTTTTTTTTTTTTTAAAACTCAGCTCCAATTTTCTTGTTGGAGGAAAAATTTGCTCGCGGGGGATTTTTTTTTTTTTTTTTAATTGCGCGATAGCTAAAGGTAGGCAAACAGACTACATATTTGCATCAGATAAAAAAAAAAAAAAATATATATATATATAT